GCAGGTGAGGGAGATTTACGCTGATTACAGAACAGGCTTTCTGACAAGATGCGAATTAAATATCGCATGCGATTAATCGTGCAGCCCTAATACAAACTATTCAACCTCAGTAATTGACTGGTCAGTTTCTAGACAACTAGTTGTTCATCAGACACATCCCTAACAGGTGCTATATATCATTTAGCTCTTACCAAACTCTTTATCTTAGCACAGATGAAATACTGACCAATCGGCTTTTAGAAGCAGAACTATTCATGGAATCATACGGTTTTATAAAATGATCTGCTGATTTGGATTCCGCTCTCACCTCCTCCTCTACCGACTGAAACTCTTTGTCATCAGGGGCCAGGTCGATCAGCACCGTGCCCTGACTCGCACAGTGGAATGTCAGGTATGGGTTGGCACCTGTAACGGAAGCACACCAACACATAAAACTAGAAGGTACCTCAGTACGCTTTGTTTAGTCATGAACAGATGGTGTTTGAGAGAGATGCTGGAGTTGAACGCTTCTGGACTGACCTTGTTGACCGCCCAGCAGCCTCTCAGTGCCTTTGATGAGTTTGTGTCTGTGCCCGTAAGCGTTGATCCCAATCTCCTTGAGCTCCTCGTGCCCCATGTCAGCCAGCACATCCAGTGAAATCTAATCCAACAGATGAACACCAATCAGAGTTAGGGAAGCCATAGTCGTCTGGAGGCACAACCAAGCAAAAGATAAAGTTGTAATGAAAAATGGCATGAAGTGATTCATTTGAAGGCCAATTTCGACTCGGCTGCTTCTGAAACAGCCAACGGTGCAATTTTTTATTTTCTCAGCTTGTTGCAATGTGGAACTTCCTCCTACTGAGAAGATATACTCTGGATATTATCGCATGTGACTCATAACACACAGAGTGATTATTACTGAATACGCCTCCTGCATGCAACACGCACACAAAAGCAAATACGCAGATGGCGATTCGCGCATGCTAGACTGAGGCAGGGAGCCGTTTGAGCCAGCGCGCGTCTTACAGAGAGCATTAATGTTTGGCCACACTGAACAAAGCATGTGAAACCATTTTGGACCTTGATGAATATGGACAAACAGATATGTTGTCACTTTTTTGTTTGTAAACTCTAAAATACAAATAATACATTCAAAATGTTAAAATATAGGACCTTGCAGGTCAGAGATCAACAAATCTGAACTATGCAGCAAAATAAAAAAACACAGCTACTGTTCAAAAGTTTGGGGTCAGTAAGATTTTTTTTATTATTAATATTTTACTCAGCAATTTGTAAAATAACAGTAAAGACATTCATAATGTTACAAAAGATTTCAATTTAAAAAAAAAATGCTGATCTTTTGAACTTTCTATTCATCGAAGAAACCTGAAAAAGCTGTATTGCGGTTTCCACAAAAATATTAAGCAGCACAACTGTTTTCAACATTGATAATAAAGAAAAAGTGTTTCTTGAGCAGCAAATCAGCATATTAGAATGATTTCTGAAAGATCATGTGACACTGAAGATCGGAGTAATGATGCCATCACAGGCATCACATATTAAAATTGAAAACATTAACAATATTTTAAACTGTATTTTTTAATTGTAAATTGTATATATTTTAAACAGAAATATTTCAATATTCAATACAGTATTTCAATTTTACAGTTTTACTGTATTTTTTTAATCAAATAAATGCAGCTTTGGTGAGCATAAGAGGCTTTAAAAAAACAACTTTTAAACTTTGGAACTGTAGTGCATGAATTGAAGCGAAAGAAACCAGTGTGACCATCCAATTGCCGCTGACTTTGCAGCAGCCTGTGTAATCTCAAACTCTCACACTCCAGTTCCAAGGCCCACTTATTGGCAATGCATCACATCTATGATAGGTCTGTCAAAGGCCATTAGCCCAGGAGCTGCCAACTGCTCTCTCTCTCTCTCTCTCTCTCTCAGAAAGCACTGTGCACTTCAATCGATAGGGTTCGCAGGACCGACCATTATGGCTGTGAAGGTGTGATGGCTGCAGTGGGAAAGATTCCATTTATTTCTCCTTTTCTTTCTCTCTCTCTTTAACTCTCTTGGCAAAGTTTTCATTTGTGGCAAAGCTGAAAAGGAACTGCAGGACTAGTGAAAAACCTTTAAAAAAAAATAAACTAGACGGCAAGTTAATAAAGTCTTAAAGTCTTCAGTACACTAGAATAAGTAAAACTTAAGGTAACGTGTGTGTGTGAGTATATATATATATATATATATATATATAT